AAAAAAAAAAAAAAAAAAAAATTCAAATGAGAATCGTGATTCTCATTTACAACATTTCAAAATCGATTTCAAATGTCCCAAAATCTTAAAAATTAAAAATATAAATCAAATCCAGTGGCTGTTGGCTTCTATTTTCTAACTACATGGGACGTCCTGACATCACCACACAGCTGGTTCTGGAGAGTATGCATGCACAAAAAGCATCAAAACAAAGAGGAAGCTAAAAAACTGGAGGAAGGAGAGATTCAACCAACCCTGTCTTTGTTGAAGGCAAAGATTTGGGCTCATTTTGTTTTTTACTGAATGAGTCAGAGTTTGATGAGCTTCACTGTGTGAAAGGGTTGAAATAAAGATGAAGCCCTTTGAGAACACGACAAATTGGCTCACATTATCAGTTTTAAATGAAAAATCAATTTTGAATCGAATCGTGGCCCCAAAATTCTGAATCCAATCAAATCGTGAGATAGAAAAGGATTCCCACCTCTATTTGACTTCATCCCATTTTTAAATAAAATATGGTTTAAATACCAAAACAGTTTGATTCTTTTTACATTCAACACAAGCTGTCAGTTTTCTTTTTCAGATGGAAACAGTTTTGTACTCCTGTCATTTCAACAACTTTTGCAGCCACTTCTAGGAGTGCAAATACAAGATGTTTGAATCCAACAGCCTGATGTGCTAAAGGTGAAACAAGCCCTAAATTCTAACATTAAAATCTTCAAAGACAACAGAAAATACTTTGACTGAAGGCAAATTATCCATGACTGCATTTGACGTGTGCAGTCTAGTTTTATTTAAAAAACAAAATGACAGGAACAACAATTTGACACAATTGATGATCTATAACTCATCTTGGGATAATAACTGTGTTTTCACAAAGCCAGGCATGTGAGTGGGAAACAGGAATTTCCTGAGCACAAAGGTAAACTTAAATCAGGTTCACTTCTCTGCAATTTCATTGTCAGGCCAATCCACAAACTGATGGGGAGTCTGCTAGTTGGGGGGTGCGCAGGGTGGGATTACAGCAGGTTGGCACTTGCTTTCCTCTTTTCACGCTCAGGTGCTTGGCAGACAATAGGAAAAGCTGTGAAAGTCAAACTAAATTCACGCTATTCATGTCTGGCCAATTTTCAGGGACAGAAACGTTCAATTTCCTAACATCAAAACTGCTGATGTTTATACACGTCTGACCTGCAGACTAAAAAATAATCATCCTGGGCTTTTATTATAAGGATATGGTAAATGTAGTTTTCTGTAGAGACAAAATAGAAGCACTGATAATAAACCAAAGAAAAGAAGAAAATCTCAACACAGCCACCTGTCCTACCTGAATTTCATCACATTTTATAAGCTTTTCAACTTCAGTTTGGCTCAGCAGCATGAACTCTTCGTGTTGAACCACCTCAGAGAAATGTTTCTGGGAAAAGAGCTCGGCGGCCTGCATCAGGTCCAGGCAGTTATGAGTTTCGGCAAAGTCACGAATGCCAAGGCAGTTGGAGGGATCGAGCTGGCTCTCCAGGAAGTCACAGCACGCTCGCTTCACCCCTGAGGAAAAACAAAAAGTTGTTTATAGATACACATACAGCATGTCGCTCAAATGAAATTAAACCCTGGCTAATAACACTTATCATGTTCCTCTTAATATAGGTGTGCAGAGGCAGTTAAACAGAAGAGATGCAACCATTGACATATATTACTGGATTGGGCATCATGTAACCTGGGTGTGCTTCACAAGGGGGATTTTTATGCATTGAGCTAATGCTAACGTTAACCATTGAAATCAATGAGCGGAACGTAGCGCGGTGCAAACAAATGCTTTATAAATATAAATGGCACAAATACTTTGCTATAAACTGCAGAAATTGTTACAACATTTTTACAAGAGCTAAAAGGGTTATGTTTCACAGGTAAATATTACACATTTTTAACGAAAATTAATTATTTTAATTGTAAAACCTGTATGCTAACATTTAAAAAGCTTTAATGCTCATGTTTAACCTTATTTAGAATCAATTTTATCTGTTGTCAAATATATTATTTACTGATATTAAACATGTAAAATATGCACTTTAATGGATTACTGACTAGTTAGACTGAATAATAATTCAGAAATTCTGGGGCCATCACAATCCATTTACTAAACACCTTAAGGATTACAAAAAGCTAGGTTAAAAAAAATCTTTCAAGTGCATGGGACCCCCACCTTCCTACTAGACTAACCAGTTTTGAATGAAGGGTCGCAAGTCCATCATTCTGTGACTTGCGACCTGTCCAGGGTGTACCCCGCCCCTTGCACTGTGACTACAGGGCATGGGCACGAGTGACCCATGCGACCCTGAAAGGAAGAAGTGTGTAGAGAAAATGGATGGATGGATGGATGGAATAATTCAGAAATTATGATGTAGACTCACTAATGACAGACAGTAATGTAATGATTGAGCATCAAAAACAAAATAGTCACATTGTCAGACAGGCCAGTTTATTCGGATATTATATTTTCTATATTTAGTATTTGTGATTTTTTTTCAACATTTCGAGAGTAAAAAGAGAAAAGAAAAGTGTGCCAGCTGTGGATCGGGTTCAGATACAGCCTGCATCATTGTGAACCTGAA